GCCCAGGCTGTGCCCCGCTGCGGAGGAAGCCCCCCGCCCGAGCCTGACAGCGGGGAAATCCCTTCCTGCCCCGACATATAGCAGCAGTCTGAGCCCGCGCGCAGGGGCAAGACCCCCCGGCCAGGCCGCCCGCAGCTCAGCCGGGCACGGCCCCCTGCTCCGGGCTGCTGCTCCCTGGGGTGACGCGGCGGCTCGTGCCCCCCAGGGCACCCCGCAAGGATGAGGAGCCTGCTCTTGGCATCTCTGCTGCTGGCCGTGTCGCCCACCTGGGCCGCGCCGCAGGACGGTGCCCACAGGTACTGGGGCAGGAGCTGGCTGGGGGAGCGGCCCAGGGCCTGCCGCGCCACGGGACAGCTCCTGGTGACCCCCACCCCCGTTGCAGGCCTGAGCCTGGTGCCGCGGAGAAGCTGGAGCCGGTGGGCAACCCCCTGCACCCGGGGCAAGCGGAGCTGCAGTGAGTCCGGGGGCGCGGGATGCTCTGGGCGCTGCGCAGAGGGCAGGCGCGGGCACCTCCGGCCCATCTCAGGGCTCCGGCCTCACGGGGCCCGTGTTGCAGGCTGCTGCAGAGCTACCTGAGGAGCCTCCAGCCAGTGGGCCGGGACCCCAGCAGCATGACTCGGGAGCAAGGTAAGGCCCGTGCACGTTGGGGGCCGGGTATGGGGAGCACCAGCGCCTGGCAGACCCCCACGGCCCCGGGCAGAGCCCCTCCCCGTGTCCCACAGTGCTGCTGTACCTCTTTGCGCTGCACGACTATGACAAGAGCGGGCGGCTGGACGGGCTGGAGTTCCTGCGGCTGCTGAGCGAGGAGCAGGCCTGGCAGGCCCAGGGGCGCCCTGCCCCGGACGCGGTAGGTGCCAGGGGCGCAGAGCAGCTGCACCAGGACCAGGGAGCAGCACCCTGGGCCAGGACAGGCCCTGACCCTGTTGCTCCCAGCAGGTGATCATGGTGGTGGACACGATCCTGGAGATGCAGGACCTAGACGGGGACGGGCTGCTGGACCCCTCGGAGCTGCTCCGGCTGCCCCTCAAGGGCCAGAGCCTCGTCCCTGCCCCTGCCCAGCTGGGTGCCCCCGAGGGAGGGCAGGATGTGGAGCCACAGATCCCTGAGGAGCCGGAGGAGCCTCTTGAGACAGCTGGCAAAGCCCCTGAGATGGGCACGGAGCCCCCCGAGGCTGCGGGGGCCTGGCAGGAGCAGGCAGGGGCTGCAGACCCCTTCCGGCAGGAGGAGGATGGCACGCGGGAGGCTCCGGGGACGCCCGAGGACAAGGCTGGACCGCCCCACGGGCAGGAGAACAATGACGAGATCTAGGCCCCGCTCTGGACTCGGCCGGGAGGGGTCCGGGCCCAGGAGCGTCCCTGTGGCTCGGAGCTGCCCCCGCCCTGCCCTGCCCTGCCCTGCCCCCCAGCGCTGCAGGAAACCGAGGAAGGCATCGGGGCTGCGCGGATCCCCACATCTGCACTCAGGGAAGAGCCAGGGTGCAGGTGCCCCCTCACCGGAGGGGGTGCAGCTGCCCCCAGGTAGGGGACACCGGGCCATGTGCAATCCCCCATGTAACCCCTGTTTGGACCAGACAATACACG